CCTAAACCCAAAACCCTAAAAAACCCTAAACCCCAAGCCGAGTCCCGAGGCCTCCCGTGTGGGTGCCGACGCCCCTCGGCTTCCTGGCAATGGCGAGTGCAGGGTTTCGGTATGGTGTTATAGGTGACATTAAACCCCGAACCCTAGACCCTGAACCCTAAACCCTAAACCCAAAGCCCGAAGCCCACAAGACCAGGGCTCAGGGATGGCAGGACAGGGTGTTTGGGAACAGTGTCTTGGCGTTTTGGCTCTTAGGACTTTAACTTTTTTGGGTTTCTATATGTATTACAATAAGGAGGCTAAAAGTTTAACTTTTAGGAGGGGTTCAGAAGTCAGCCAAGGTGTTATTGGTTACTGTAGTTCACTATAGTTCATTGTAGTTCGTTACAGCTCATGATGGTTCATGAGAGTATATTGTAGCTTTATTATAGTTCGGTACAGGTCATTGTAGTTCGTTATAGTTGATTATAGTTTGTTTAATAGTTTGTTGTAGTGTATTCGAGTAGTATAGAGTTATAATATTATAGTATGATCGTACAATAGTATTGTATTGTTGTAGTATTGTAGTGTTTAGTCAAAGTGTTATAGTATTGTTCTTCATATAGAGATCTGAATTATTCGAGTTATGATTCTGGCTACAGGGTCAGGGTGCCTATCCTAACCTGTCCTGGAGACGAGACGCTTGGGGACGTCAAAAGAGTTTCGAGCATGTTGGGCGATGTTGGAATACGTCATCTGGGTGCCCAAAAGCCGATCTAATCGTGTAGTGATAATCGCAGATGTGTGAAAGGAGGGTTTGTCTGTCTGTGCTCATTGGTGCTTCAAGGAAGTTTAAAGCAGGTGCAGCAAGTTCAAGTTTGCATAAACTGATTGAAAGGGTCTCTTAATCTAGCAGAAGAAGAACTTGTGATGTCTGCCTAAACCCTAAGCCCTACAAACCCTATACCCCGAAACCCTATAAACCCCAAACCCTAAACACTTAGGGCCCTGGGGTCAGCAGATTACGGTGTGGGGCCGTGAGGGGCTTGGTGTGGGGGGTGTTGCCTGTCCTCTGTCTTTCTGGGTGGGCACGGGTGCCCGGCATAGGCGCATGGATTCGAATTTAGAGGTGAGAACCCTAAACCTAAACCCTTAAAGCAGAAACCCTAAACCCTAAACCCCTAAACCCCTAAACCCCAATACCCTAAACCCCAGAAGGTGCAGGGCTTAGGGTTCAGAGTTCAGTGCAAGGTGCTGCTGCTGTTTGGCAGCCGTGCTGGCCTCAGTTCCTTCCCAAGCATCTGATGATGCTCCCAAGAGGCTTTGCCAGCTTTTCCTGGTTCCTGATCCCTTCCTCAACCCTACACTCTAAACCATAAACCCCAAACGCCAAACCCAAAGCAAACGCGGAGCCCAGTCATAACTTGGCTGCTACAGCTTCGGCGCAGCGCTAGAAACCTTGAGCAAGACACCCTAAACCGTAAAGCCCTAAAACCTACACTCCTAAAACCCTAAACCAGGTTTAGGGTTTAGAGTTTGGGGTTTGGACCACAGCAAGCCGAAAGCTTCCCTAAACCCTAAACCCCTAACCCTAACCCCAAACCCCTAATCCCTAACCCCTAACCCCTAAACCCTGACCCTCAACTCTAAACCCTGAACCTTGGAGCCTAAACCACACCCAGCCGAAAGCTTCAAGAGCAGAAGGTGCCCTGCACTTGAGTGAGCTCATAGGATCTGCTTCTTGGTTCCGACTTTAGGGTTTAGGGTTTAGGGTTCCCCCCAAGATAAGCCATGTTACGGCAGAGGAGGGCACTTGGAGGTTCATGGGTAGATATAAGGAGGGACAAGTAGGGTTACTATACTTATAACCCATATTAGGGACTTGCTAAACCCACTTGTAACTACCCATGAACCTCCGAGCAGTGCACATTGGAACCCTTTCCTCAGTAAAAGGCCAGACAAAGCAACCGCTGCTAATTCTCGAGCTTGGTCTACTTCTACCAAAACTCTTGAATCCAGAACGCATGGAGACAAGATCGCGTCTGTTGAAGCAGCTGGTGCGCGGCCCAAAGGCCTCCCAAAAGCCATGCAGACTTCGAGTTTTTCAAGCAGTCACCCTAAACCCTGAACTCTCGGAGTCTTAACCCGGAGCCCTAAACCCTGAACCCTAACCCGGAAGAACCACGCCCTAAGCCCAAAGCTCTGCCCCTAAGGCCTAATCCCCAAACCCCGAAGCCCTAAGCCCTAATGTTGGGCCTTAATAATTAGAATAGGGCTTTGGGGCTTCCTTATTATGCTCGTAGTACAATGGGCCCCAATACCCACTTCTAATCATTAAGGCCCCTACACCCTTAACCCCCATAGTAAGCCTTTAAGGAACACTTTAAAGGAACCCTTAAAGGAACCCCTTTCTAACTATTAAGGCCCCTACATAAAAAAACGAGCCCGGCTTTAAGGTGCACAGTCAGAGCTCACCGCCTGGCGTCAGGTTGCCCCGGCCATGCGTTCGGTGATAGCCTGGTAAGTCGCTGGGGTTTAGGGTTTAGGGTTATAGGTATCATAACACCGAATAGGGGCTCCTTTAGGGTGCTTATAAGACTACTTCATGCCTTGCATTGATACTTGGAAGTTCATGATAGGTAGCTATAAGTGCAGTCATACGTCCCTTAACATCAGTTATAGATTTAGATACCCTACTTACAACCCAACTTATACCTACCCCTGAACCTCCGAGTAGTGAGTGAAAGGGGTCTTAGATACTACAAATTCTTGGTAAATCCCCAAATAGTAGCCCTTGAGGTAGCCCTGACCGTACTTGGAGGATCATGGGACTTAGTAAGTAGGTTATATAAGTAGACTTATAAGTACCCTAACTGGAGTTACCCCAATTATAACCCTACTTATAACCGACTTACTAAGTCCCCTGGGCCTCCAAGTAACCCCTGTAGTCACTGTAGTCCCCCTTCTAGCACGGGTTCGCGGAGCTGTTTTCGACTCCGGACACCCGCAGGACAGCTCCAACTTTTAGAGCTTTTCCAGCCCCGGAAGCTTCTAGAAGCTACGGTTTAGGGTTTAGGGTTTGGGGTTTAGGGTTTAGGGTTTAGGGTTTAGGGTAAACCTTAAATCCTACTTGGAGGTTCATGGGTAGTTATAACTGGGGTTTTAGTAGGGTAACTATACTTATAACCCATATTAGGGGACCTCTAACCCTTCTTATAACTACCCATGAACTTCCAATAGGGCCGAAGAGGTGTCAGTAGAGTTCGCTCTCTCAAACTAAAGAGTAGACCCTTAATGGGATTCTACAATAGGGATCCTACAAAAGGGTTCCTTAAGAGGCTTTTTTGGGTTTATTAAGGGCTTTTTGGGGTTTGGGGTTTAGGGTTTACATCCCCTAATTTGGGACCCTATGCTACTTAATGAGCCTCAAAAGGAGCCCTTAAAGGGAAACCCTAAAGGAGCAGAAGGAGCTACTTTTTCAATCCCTCGAGGGGTCCCAGCCCAGAGACTCCAACATGTTTTGATCCAGGAACATTCCTTGGGGTTTGCTGGTTTTTGGGTTTGGGGTTAAGGGATTAGTGTTCAGGGTTTAGGGCAGTAAAGGAACCCTAGATGTTGGTGCCTGTGTGTGTTCTGCCAGATTCGCACGCAGCAGCGCGAGGAGAAGAGGAAGAACTTGTCTGTGCCAGGAGCACGGCTTGGGGGCGTGCTGGGGGTGAGGGCTTCAGATCACAACAGAATGTACCCCCAACTAAACCTTAGACCCTAAACCCTAAACCCCCAAAGCCCAAGTTCTACTAACGAAGGCCCCCTATGTTAAAGCTTTGAGCCAGAGCCCCTTACCTCCAAACTGCAACGCTCTAAGCCGTCCTTACACACCGACTAAGCAAAAACAAAGGGTCACTATAGGGGTCTTAATAATTACCTATACTATTTTGGGGGCTTCTGATTATAATTCTACTATAAAGGGGCCCAAAACCCTATTCGAATTATTAAGGCCCCTACATTACTGTTCCACCTCCTGAGAGGGATGCTGAGGCCATGAAACCAGCGAACTCTACGCCCAAAGCCAGCAACTGCGAACCCTTGAACCCCACATGCCACAGAAGTCAAGAAGCTGCATACCCCCCAAAATCTGAACCTATCTTAACTGACTCTTAGCCACGCCCCACCGCGCTTAAAACCCAGCCTATAGCCACTTCGTAACGGTCATACAGGGGACCTCAACATTCCTATAACACCTTCTCACGCCTGAGGCCTCTACTTGGAAGCCCAGGGTACTTAGTAAGTAGGTTATAAGCACCCTAACTGGAGTTACCCCAATTATAACCCTACTTATAACCGACTTACTAAGTTTCCTGGGCCTCCAAGTAAAGAAAAGCAGGTTCCTTGCCGGGTGCTGCAAGGCTTCCCTTCAGGGTATTAGCAGGGTTCCCTTAAGGATACTATAAGGGTTCCACGGCAAACCCGGGTTCCCCAAAGTTAGCAAACACGGAGCCCCCCCGAGGTCTCAGCGGGTGTCCGAGGACTCGCCAGGCTTGATGGCCGCCGCCGGGGTTTCAGACCGGCGTAGCTTCGATGGAGTTCGGGTGTGATATAGGGGGCTTGATAGCTAGAATAAGGTTCCTTTTGAAGGGTTCTATAAGGGTTACTACAAAAGGTATTCTGCGGGTTTAGCATAGGGGCCTTACATGGCCTTGCTTATTAGAACAGGGTTTTGGTAGTTTGGCTATACTAAGGAACCCTTAGGAACAGTAGTCGTAACAGCAACTGAGATCCATGCCGCAGGACAACACGTCTCAGCAACCCCATCGACCATTCTGCCCTCACCCCGTCCTACTTCACTTCTCCACATCTTGTGGTCCCGCAAGCACTGCTGCTGCAAGGCTCCTCGCACCGGTGGCTCCCGCGTCCTTTCGTCCCCCACACACGGCTGCGGCGAGTCGGAAACGATCCGCACCTCGAGCACACCACGCTCACTGGGCCAAAAAGAAGCGCCGGAAACGAACCCGACATGTTGCCGCCTCCACCATCCGCTGATCCGTGTGAGTGCCCTCCCGGCTTGGACCTCTCCTCTTCATCCTAAGGCGGATTTGGTGGACCCGTCTCGGTTGTGGGAGACATCGGTGGGAGTAGCCCGCGATCCGGACCCCACGCGAAATCGCAAGTGGGGAGCCGACAGCAACGAATTTGCTTAAGCCTGAATTTTTCATCCTGCGGGGCTCACAGCGGGCTTTCTGGCCGCGAAAGGAGTCAGGACATAAGCTCTAGAGCCCTTGAAGACTGTGAGGTCTGTGAAGTTTGCCCCGCCGAAGGACACATCTTGCAATCGTTCGTACATTCTCAAGTACGGACCGGTAGCACGCGTTGAACACGTGTTTAATGTCATGTTGCAGTAGCGCTTTCGAGAAGACGGAACAAGGTGTTTAGAAACAACGTTGAAACCTCAAGCCCTGCAATTTGCGCCAGTAAACCCCAAGCTCGAAGCTTTAGAGACGGAGCCCCAAACCCTCAAAAGGTACTCTGCAACGAAAAGCCTGAACGACTAAACCTTGAGGCTCAAACCTTAAACCTAAAGAAGCCCTAAAAACCCAGACGTTTGGGATTTTTCTGAGGCCACGAACCCCTTCCTGTCGGTGTTTCAGTTGCCGAGCCTCCTTGCCGAGGCTGGGCCCTTTCATGGGCTCAGGGCCACAGGGCTTTAAGGCTTAGGGTGCCTGGCTTGTTGGGATTTAGACCATCCGCCGGATTTGTTTACGTGTTTAGGGTTTCAGGGTGTTTTGGGGTTGAGGAGTATGGGAATTGGACATGGTTTGTGTCAACATGGCAAACTCTTAGCGGCCGTGCTTCTCCGTTTTCACAACGATTTGATCAAGCTGGTATATGTACACATGACTATAGCAAACCATATTCGTATGTGTCTACAGGTTTATAAGGGGGGTCTATATGTCTATATGTCCGTACGTCTATAGGTTTATAGGTCTGTAGGTCTGTATGTCTATATGCTTATATATCTATATGTCTGTATGTCTATATTACTAAATTTAAATGCCTATATGCCTACATGCCTGTATGTTTTTGAATTTTATGTCTATATGGCTATATGTCTATAAGTCTATATGTCCATGTGTCTGCACGTCTATATGACTATACGTCGAGATGTCTACATGTCTAGGATGTGGTGTTCCGGGACTGTGCTCCCATGTACGTTCGAGAGTCAGGAAGCCTACACGTGTGTCAGGAGAGTCACAAAATCATGATACCAGATCTTATCCGCTTGGAGCTTCGCATGCTTTGGTGGTTCAAGATCTTGCTTTATCTGCTTGAGAAAAGGCTTCACGTGTGCACGCTCCGCCTGTTTCGTGAGGCGACGGCGAAAAACCTGAAGCACCGGGAGAAGCAGAAGGACCTGCACAATGCGCGAGGTTCTTTGGTAGTTCCCAAAAGTAGGGGCCTTGTTGTGCCCTAAACCCTAAACACTAGACCCTAAACCCTAAACCCCAAACCCTAAACCGTGGGGTCCAGCTTGCAAGACTGAGAACAGAAACCCTCAGTTACAGAACTGCCCAAGCAGTTGATCAAGAAGCCCCATGACCTGTGGAGCCTGAATGCAGAACCCTTTACAAGAGCCTTTAAAGTAACATAAACCCTAAACCCAAGAATCCTGGAGCCCAAACCTACACCCTAAATCCTAAACCCAAGAATCCTGGACCCCAAACCCTACCCAAGAATCCTAAACCCCAAACCCTACACCCTAAATCCTAAACCCTAAACCCAAGAATGAATCCTAAACCCCGAACCCTACACCCTAAATCCTAAACCCTAAACCCAAGAATCCTAAACCCCGAACCCTACACCCTAAATCCTAAACCCTAAACCCAAGAATCCTAAACCCCAAACCCTACACCCTAAATCCTAAACCCTAAACCCAAGAATCCTAAACCCTAAACCCTACACCCCAAAACAAGAATCCTAAACCCTAAACTCTAAACCTCAAGATTCCTTTGACCAACCCAGAGGAGCGAGAGCAGAAGGCTGCAAGCGCTGCCGCTGCCCGTGCCGCCGGCCCTGAAGAGGTCCTGCGCATGCAGAAAGAGGCTTATGGCTGTGCCTTTAGGGTTTTTTTCGTTTGGGGTTCAGTATAAACCTTAAATCCAAAGCCCTAAAGCCCTAAACCCCTAAAGCCCTAAACCTTAAACCCAAAGCCTAAAACCCTAAAGCCCTAAAGCCCTAAACCCCTAAAGCCCCAAACCCGAAAATCCCCTGAACCCTAAAACCCGCGAGCATAGAACAGGATCGGGGCCTCCGGGTGCAGGGTTCAGGGTCAAGGCGGGATCCGACCAATCCCCGAAGCCCTGAAAGCCTACTTGGGGGCCCAGGGGACTTAGTAAGTGGGTAATAAGTAGGGCTGAGGGTTGAGGGTTTAGGGTTTAGGGTTTAGGGTAGTAAGTAGACTTGTAAGTACCCTAAAAAGGGATCCTTCTTGGGGTTATGCTACTTATAAGTCTATAAGATAACTACTTCCTAAGTCCCCCGACCATCCAAGAAAGCTGTTTGGGTTTCGATTTTGAAAGAAACAGCACTACAGTACTTCTATAGGGTTTCGGGTGTTGGATTTAGGGTTTAGGGTGCTTACTCCAAAGAAGGAAACACTGTACAAAAGCCCTGGCAGTTTTGAGCCCGAAGCCCAAATCTCGGATCCATTGCCATCCAAAAGGAACCCTGAACTGTACTTGGTTTGGGGGTTTAGGGTTTATGTACTCGGTTTGGGGGTTTAGGGTTTCGGGTTTAGGGTAGTTACCACTGGAGTCAGAAGTGGGATGAATGCTATTATGACCCACATGAGGAGACTTATAACCCACCTAAAACTACCCGCGAACCTCCAAGCACAACCCAGGTAGAACCCCATAAAACCCTAAACCCTAAACCCTCAACCCTAAACTCCTAAACCCTAAACCCTAAACCCTAAATGCACAGAGAACCCTGGCTGCGCTGCAAGTCGGCAGGCGCCGGAAGTTCCGGTTGACTCCGAGACCGACGTGGACATGACGGAGCTGCTTGGAGACTGGCGGGGGTCTTTGCATCAGGGTTTTGGGTTTAGGGTTTAGTATTTTAGGGGTTCAGAGTTCAGGATTTTTGGTCTAGGGGTTTAGAGGTTTAGGGTTCATATAGGGGTTTTAGGGGTTTAGGGGGTTAGGGGGTTGCTGTAGTGTCTTCGGGTTGTGGATCTTGGCTTTAGGATGTTGGGTGTACCTAAATCCTAAACCCCTTGGCCTGGAGTTTAGGGTTAGGGTCGTTCGGTTTAGAAGCTACGGTCTAGGACTTGGCTCCGCCCGGGACTTGAGAAAGGTTTGAGGGTTAAACGTAAACGCAATTCTTATTACGATTCTAAGGGTGCTTAAGGTCCGTAAGCGTCCTTAGAACAATAATAAACACAGTATTCTTATACTATAGGTTCTTCTGAAGGAAACCGTTATTGTTGTTGCGGTTATTGTTATCATTGTTATTGTCGCTGTTACAGTTTTATGATTGACATCTCTATTACTGTTATTCTTCTTCTTCTGATTGCTGTTATTGTCGCTGTTTCGTGTCCCAAGCCTACCTGCGGTCATATCAAAACTCCCCTGGGCTGCAGATCACTTTAAACCCAAACCCTAGACCCTAAATTCCTTTAGCCTTAAACCCCTAAATACCGTAATGCCTTAAACCCTAAACCCTAAATGCCTCAACCCCTAAACCCCAAATACCTTCAACCCCAAGCCTTAAATACCTTCAACCCACAACCCACAATGCCTCAAGCCCCAAGCCCTCAATACCTTAAACCCCAACACCCCAAATACCTTCAACCTCCAACTTTTCATAATATAGGGGCCTACATAATTACCCATACTATTTTCTCGGTTCCTTATGATAATTATAGTATAGTTGGGCCCCAGAAGCCTATTCTATTTTTTTTGGCCCCTATCCTAAACCCTAAACCCAAAATCCTAAACCCTAAGCCCTAAACCCTAAACCCTAAGCCCTAAACCCTAAACCCTATTCTAACTATGAAGGCCCCCGATAATTACCTGAGGCCCGAGGTCCTCAACCCTTCAGTTTCCTAAAGGTGCCAGGCCATGCGTGTGGAGAAGCCGATCGCCTTGGTCTGCGGCCAATCTTTGGAGTTTGCTTGGTGTTTTGGTTTTAGGCCTTAGGGTTTAGGGTTTANNAGGGTTCAGGGTTTAGGGTGTACTTGGAGGTTCATGGGTAGTTATAACTGGGGTCATACATCCCCCTATCCTTTAGGTTATAGTTCTGGTTACCTTACGTATATAACTCCTCTTATAGCTACCCATGAAGCTTCAAGTAGGGTGTAAAGATGGGAGCCGATACTTGGGTGGGCGGGCATTGTGAGCTTGCTTAGGGCTTTAGAGGTTTAGGGTTGAGGGTTTGGGGCTTAGGGTTTAGACTTGAGGGTGCAAGGTTCAGGATTGAGGCTTTAGGACTTTGGACGTAAGGTTTAGGATTTAGGGTCCAGGGCTTACGGTGTACGGAAAGAAGGGGCTCCGCAACTCTATCTGTCGGGCCGAGAGAAAGAGTCGGGATCTTGTTGCACTCGGAAACCCCTGGCGCTGGAAGGCAAGGCCACGACTTAGAGGAAGGCTGTAAAGATGCAACGCCTGCGGGACGTTCAGCCTGGTTCCTGCAAGCACTACCCACTTGCGAGTCATCAGGTCATCAAGTTAGCTGCTGTTCTAGCACGATAGCCCTGCTGCTTCTTTCTGCTTTAGTTATGGCGATGCGTCTTCTGGCGTGACCGCCAAAAAGAAGTCTTGTGATACCTGGTTGTTACTCTAATGCAACTTCGGCATGGTGACAAGTATTCTGCTCAAGGGCGATCTGCTTCTGGATCCTTTATCAACTCCATTCGCAAAGAACAAAATTTGAATAAACGGTAAGAAGATGCCCTCATCGTACCAATCTTCTTTGGCAGTGTACAGTCAAACGCAGCTCAGTTCAATCTGTTCCAGCCCCCTTGTTGAACATGGGCACTTGGAACGCATTGGCATAACCTGAGATGAAGCCGGCATCCGTGGTCTGGGATGGCTCGCAGAAGGATTGGATTTCCGATTCACGTATGTTTGCGGGCAAGGAGGTAAGCGATTTTTTGGATCTTTTGAGGTTTGTAGGGCCGTGTGTGTGTGTGTGCGTTTTTTGTTGCCTGGATGTTTAGTAGGCTTGAAGGATTGAGTTGTTTCGTCCTGGGCCACCCACTGGGTAACACGGCTCTGGGGTAACATTTGGGTAACATTTGGGGTAACGGCGTCGTCGTCGCGTTGTCGTCGCGTCGTCGTCGTTGGAACACCCGGTGACCACAAACCCTAAACCAGGGTGGTTTAGGGGTTTAGGCCTGCAAGTGTAGCAAGTGGGCTCGCTCCTATTGTGCAGCTGCGTGCGCATACTCCGTTTTCCATCTCCGGATTCAGATGGCTCTTTAGCAAGTATGGCCTGACCACAGTGTCAAAAAGAGTATCTAAACACCAGTCGGTATATCTATCTGTCCTTCAACCCCAACAAACCCTCAACCCGAATCTAGGTCGCGTCCTAGGGCTGAACTCAAACGTCCCGAAGCCGACATCGGCCTCCTCTGGCCCCTGCCACACAAATCCCAGCACCCTGCAACCAGCAACCCGGAAACGGTTTAGGGTTTAGGGTTTGGGGTTTAGGGTTTAGGGTTTAGGGTTTAGGGTTTAGAACCTTAAATACCCTAAGGCTACGCCAACAAACCTCAACCCCACAGCCTGAACAAGAAGCACAAACGCAACTACCGCCTTCGGAAGCCACCTCAACTCTCCTGAACTCCTAAGCCCCTAAGGCTTAAACCCTAAACTTCTAAGACTCCTAAGCCCCTAAGCCCCTAAAGCCCTAAACCCTAAACTCCTAAGCCAATAAACCCTAGACCCTAGACCCTAAACCCTAAACCCTAAACCCCTAAACCCCCAAACCCTAAACCCTAAACCCCCCTAAACCCTCAACCCTAAACCCTAAACTCCTAAGCCACTAAACCCCCAAACCCCAAACCTTGGAGCGCAGGAGTCGTGGCCAAAGCGCCGCGTGGTGGTGCCTTCGGCAGCGCGAGCTGCCGAGCCGCAGTTGGAGGCAGGGATGTCTTTTCGGGGTTTAGGGTTTAGGGTTTAGGGTTTAGGGTTTAGGGTTTAGGGTTTAGGGTTTAGGGTTCAAGCTGGGGACTTGAGGGAGGGTTCTGCGGGTAGGTAAGGGATGCGGCTATGGTTCAGATATCCACAGTATTGCGATGCTTGTATGGGGATGAACAATGGATGGCATTATTGGCGGGGGTCTGGGGGTTGATCTCGGGAGTAGCCGTTGGCGTGGTAGTTCGTAAACCCTAAACCCTAAGCCCTAAACCAAAAGATTCAGAAAGGCCGTGCTTTGCCGAAACCTTGGCTCTAAGGCAGTGCCGGTTCCAACGAGTGGTCTGAGCCCTCGCCACTGTGAAAAAATCACGACTGCCTTGCGAGCACTCGTGCTTCTTCTTCTTCTTCTGCTTCTTCTTCTTTTTCTTGGAATTGCTGAACCTCAAAGCCCGAATCAGCATGTGCGGAAACTTAGCAAGTGGTGGTGCTGATGGTGGTTGTAGCTGTGGCACCGGCATATCACTACTGACTAGTTTAGCACTTGTATTGTTAGTGTTGCTATCAGTAGTATTATGATTTCGATGACGATGTTAATCATCTATCATTTTCGTGCTCGTCCATGAGTACCATCATTAGGCTGGTTCTGGTTCTATTATTGTCATCATTATTCTTATGCACATAGTGTTATGTGAAACTTTATTATGATTATTATTAGTAATGGTCTTGCAACTCTACTAGTCCTAGTACTATTCTATGCAGCCAATCATCATTATTGCTATTCCTAGCACTATGATTGTTATAATTAGCACTATTATTGGTATTATTACGATTATGATTGTTCTTATCTTGGCATAAATACTATTCTTCTTATTATTCTATTTATTGTAATTACTATTCTTGTCATTACCAATATTCTTGTTGTTGTTACTGTTATTAGTATTATTATTCTGATTGTGCTTATCATAGTCAGATGGTTCTTATTATCGCTACTGCTAATGTTATTGCTCGTTATTGTTGTTTTTATCGTTCGTTGTGTTATTGGTACTGATATTTTTATGCTATTGTTATTATTATGTTTAGTCTTATTCATAGAATGTTTTTTAGTTTTACAACTAGTATTAATATTTTTGTTACTAGTTACTGTCATTTCTATTGTTGGTAGGAGTGGAGCCCACGGCTGTCTACGGCCAGGCACCGAAGCCCCCGGAGCCCGCAGCAGCTGAGCACAGGGCTCTGCCGGAGTGACGGTTTAGGGTTTAGGGTGTAGGGTTTAGGGTTTAGAGTGTGTTTCGAGTTTGTCGGATTTATGCTTCCAGGTTTCAGGGTTCTAGGGTGCGTTTAGGGGTCAGGATTTAGGGTTCTAGGTTTCAGGGTTCTAGGGTGCGTTTAGGGGTCAGGATTTAGGGTTCTAGGTTTCAGGGTTTCGGGTTCAATTTTTTTTTGTTCAGGGGTTCGGTCCTGGGTTTAGCGATGTCAGGTGTGGGAGTTTAGGGGCTCAAGGTTTACGGCCCTGTCCCTTATAGAAGCGCCCAAGAAAGACTAGGGAGGTCGGCCAAGGCGCCTTCTTCAAGGCTTCTCAGCATAAGCAAAGCTTAAAGTTTGTAATGTTGTGGTGTTTAGGGAGTGTCGTTTACTTAAACCCCCTAAAAAACCCCAAAACCTCTAAACCGAAACTCTACGGCCCCACAGCCCTGAACCCTTGAACCCTAAACCCAAAACCCTTGAACCCTAAACCCTAAACCCCAAACCCTTGAATCCTAAACCCTGAACCCTAAACGGCCTTGAACCCTAAACCTTGAACCGCTGAACCCTAAACCCTGAACGGCCCTGAACCCTAAACCCTAAACGGCCCTGAACCCTAAACCCCTTGAGCCCTGAACCCTAAACCCTGAACGGCCCTGAACCCCAAACCCCAAACGGCTTTGAACCCCAAAACCCAAACGGCCCTGAACCCCAAACCCTAAACGGCCCTGCACCCTTGTTGTTTGCTGAAGATGTAGCTAATTCATACCTACGACTGTCGTTGGCTCAAGTAAAAAGTTGCGTATGTATTCTGGCTGCTCTGCCTATAAACATAGGTTATCAGCCGTAGGTCTC